TCAAGCTGAGCAAGTGCCTGGTAATCCTTACCTAATTACCGGTATTGTCCTTGCTTCTTCAGAACAGCCCTAACCTTTCAAAATATAGTGTGGCTAAGTTAAAAAGTGCACACATAAAGGATTCCCCTCTCTTTTAGTTTTTAAGTTCACACTCCTCACATGTCTCTCTAGGTCCCCTTGGATCCAAGTTTCTAATTTTACTTTGGGATGGTGATTCCCTGCCCAAAATTAGCTGTCCCAATTTTTTAACCCCTCCACATCAGTATTCTTAGCACTTCATGGTTCTTAGTTTCTTTTCTTATTCTTTCTCACAATCAGCCTTTGGATTCAGCCATCCTATTTTTACAGATGTGGAATTGAAGCTGAGGCATAATGTTTTTTTCCCACCCAATGAGTCCATTTTTATGAGCTGGAATTTGAACTACTATTTCAAGTTCCAAATGTAACACCCTGTCCTTTGGCTCTTCTCTTTTTACATTTGTTTTTCATTCCTGATTGTTCATCTGGGACTAGAAGGCACTAAATTTTAATGTGTGTTGTCCCTATTCTTAATCCTTTTTAGGATGTTTTTCAGTGTTGAAAGCACTGAAAAAGCACCTTCTAGTTCCAAATTACAGATGTATTAATTTTTTTTAACAATTTCTTGGCTTTTCTTTTGCTTGCAGTTCTCCTTTAGTTTTATTCATTTGTATAAATGTGTAGTGAAGAGTTGGTTTTTCATGACATTAAATTTCATAACGGAAAGCCAGTTTTTCTTTCATTGGACAACACAGTCCTCACAATGCAGTGAGACTTCCTGTCATTTAGGCAGGTTCATCATAGTAAGAGCAGGTCTGAACTGGAAAAAATGGATTCTCCAGACATGCAGAATTTAATTATATATTATACCTTTATTCTACTCTTCTTTCTGAGAGATTAGAAGAGTGTTCATTTTGCATATTGTCTTTACAAAAATCCTGAGAAAAATGTTAGACTAAAGCCTGAAGCCCAAAGTTTTATTTCATTAAAATCTAGATTTGCTCCAACCTTCCATTGTAGCAAATGGATTTGATTCTCATGTATATGATTCAGAGTGATGTGAATGAACTTCAGAGTCATTTACTTCCTTCTCTTTCTTCACCAGCCCAGCTTTGCAATTTACCATGGTTAAAAATATGAAAAACAAGAGCAATTGGTTTTTCTTTCTTCTGACTTTACCCAAAGACAAAAAAGAACAGGGAGCTATTATATCTGGTGCTTAATTTAAGATTATGTCTAAATGAAGCAAGTAGCTCTTTCATTTGTTGTTTATTCTCTTTTTCAAATCTCTTATCTGGCTTTCCTTTCGTTGCAGTATTCGTTTCTCTCTCTCATTTAGCACTGGCAAAACGTGAAATTAATACAGGTTTTAATAT